GGGCGACATGCACAAAGGACAAAAAATATGGCGGTGTATCTTTCCATGTTCTGGCAGAAGATTCATTCCCATTTGCTCATACATTGGGTGGTGGAGAGCGTAGGGCCGTTGAATCAGGTAAGCACGTAACGTATCTCTGGAACCTTTCTTTTTTTTTTTTTGGAGAATCTCTGAACCGTGTGCTGACACTATCGGACCGAAGAAACCGCCCTTATCAACGGCCAACATGAATCCGGAAGCGGGGCGACATGCACAAAGGACAAAAAATATGGCGGTGTATCTTTCCATGTTCTGGTGGAAGATTCATTCCCATTTTGCTCATACGTTGAGCGTAGGGCTGTTGAATCAGGTAAGCACGTAACATATCTCTGGAACCTTTCTCTTTTTTTTTTTGGAGAATCTCTGAACAAATGAGATTGAATCCTCCGCTTGAACATGGGAAGATACATTGCCATAAGAAGAGAGTTTCCGATTGAATCCTCCGTGTGTGTCGGGCAGCGAGCCCGTTGGTGAACACCACCGTTGAGGTTCTGACAGGTTGGACGCGCCGGGCTTCGCTCATGCAGAGAAATTCTGATTTTCTTCCTTACGTTTTTTTCTTTTTATTAAAAAAAAAAAACTCCAGGAAAAACGGCTGTCAGTTCCGTCGTTTTCTACTTCAGAAGTAATAAGAAGAGAACGTTTTGAGAGATCGCGACCGTCATCATGACTGAATCTGGCCTGCAAGAACCTACCCTACAGACTGCAAGAACCCTACCGTGCACACAGAGTGTTACGCGGACTACAGGTTACTACGAGCTTTCAGGCCAACGCGCGGCCTCCAAAAAAAATTTGGCTGCCCGTTTCTTATTTTACGCGAGCAGGGGGCCGGGTCTACTACCGCCCCTCACAACTTCTTTTTTTTTTTTTCGACCCCCATTTTTGGAAATGCGCCGCATGCAGTGCGCGCGCGTCGTGCGGGATGCGCGGTGCGGCGCACGTGCGCAGTACAGCGCATCGCGATGCGCCGCATGTATGGCAAAGACCCCTCGATCCAGAGACTCTTGGAGGTTAATGTGGGTATGAATGGTTATTTCAGAATTCTTATATGGACGCTGCAGAGCCTTGGCAATACGGATTTCAAGATCCAGCCACTCCTATGATGCAAGGAATTACTGAGTGCGCCCAGGTCGCAGATCTCGATTGCAGGGCGGCTCCAACTCTGCCACACCATCTCAAGCTGGCCCAGGCCAAGGGTGTGAGCTACACGTGTGTGGTATGCCTTACTCAACTTTCTCCCATTGTCTGATAGTTCTCAACCCCCCACAAGGGATGCCACACAAGCTGTGAACACACTACCCAGCAACACTGTTCATAGGTTCCCCTGTGACCCTAAACCCTAAACCCTACCACGTACCTCCATGTCCATGTGCCCTGCATTTAGGCGCTTGAATTTTATTTGCATCCAATTGCTCCAAGCCCTGTTCCAATCGGCAGCAAGCCCCCAGAGCTCAGCAAGACGTTCGATTTTCTCAAGGGCCGGTCTGATCAACTGGATGCATTCGTCCTCTTCGGGGATTTTTAACACGGCTTCCTGCTTTTGCAGCTTCCTTGCCCTCTCCATTGCTTGCTGAAGACCTTCTAAGGACTTCTGAGTTTCCTTCTGATATTCGTATGCGCCTTCCAAGTCATCATAACTCTCATAAGTTGGCACAGGGGCCACAAGATCCCAAGCCTGTCTGATCAACACAACCTGAAACAAACACATGTGCCAACAAAAGTGTACACCATGTTACAGCAACCAACATCATCTCAAATTCAGTTATCTAACTTATCCAGGGATGATCACACATGACATTAAAAGGTACGCTCAGTCCTGAACACCCTGCTGCATCATGGTTCGTGACGTTACCCCAAGTGGGCAAGAATAAAGGAATTATGAATATTATTAGAGTCTTTAGTGGCTCATCATGGGTGATGTTGAATCCATCGTTCTGTTTACAACGGTAGTCAAAAGACTCAAAACAAATCACCAATCTTTTTTTTTTTTTTTTTTGTCTCCTTTTTTCATAAGTAATTTCGTTGATTTTCATCTCGTTAGGCATTTTAAGTTTGCTTTCCTTTCTCCTCCCAAAACTAGTATATTACTTAGTGATCGAGACAAACTTCCGTAGACGTCACATGCCTCTTCCGTCTGCTTTTTTTGCCGATTTCGACCGATTAAAACTTTCCATCCTCCAACTAACTGGCCTAGGTAGCTCAGTTGGTACACATCCTGAACTGTTGAAATACAGACCCGAGTTCGAACTCCGCTGGAAGCAGATGAGTGAAATAGTAATACTAGAATGCTGAATTACCTAGTGACGGTCAGTTTGATGATAATATCTCGACGCTGTCGCCCTTTTTTTCAAAAAAAAAAAACACAAAAAAACTTCCATGCTCCAACCTCTTTCGGCCTTCTGGCTAAAGATCAAAGTGCAGTGTCCGTTCTGATCAGCATAACATCTGATCTGTGAAGTGTAACACCGCCCCAATCTTTTTTACTTTTTTTTTTAAAGTGCAGCAGAAGGAACACTGCCGACTGCAGAACGGTCAGCAGTTGGCATCCGCCATCGGCATGTTCTGCCTTATTTGTGGCAGGTTGCAGGTTCAGACTCCAGAGTCTTCCAGTGAGCAATGTGCGCCTTGGAGCTTGTAACATCCTCTGTTGTTATATGTTTCACCTCATTATCAATCCACATTCTAGTTCATGGTCCTAACCAGGGGTGGGTTGAAGTTGTGGGCATCAACGGGCTTTTATCTCATTTCCGTTCACTTTGCCTATTCGTTAAAGTGGTTCCCACCTTGTTTATGGCAGGTGCCAGGTCTGAGTCCTGGGGTGAGTGATCCCGGCTCATTCTGCCTATTGGTTAAGTGTTCCACCTTGTTGATGGCAGGTTCAAGGCTTTGAGCCCTGACGTGAGCAATCTGGACTTTGGATTGTGGAAAGTAAACAGACAAACAAACTTGGTTGTACATATTTCACTTCAGCATCATGTATACATCCTTACGGTGGTTTGCTTACCTGGGCATTCCGGACAATTCCGATTATGACGGGCTTCACGGACAGGACACGTGGACGTTTGACTAAAACACTTCTGCAGCATTCATGAAACCTCTGATGCACTGACCAATAGCCCATCATCTCCTTATCTGAGAGTTCCACATGCAGGTCCTCAAGCGCTCTATGGTATCGTCTGATTTGCTCCAGTTTGGATATGAGAGTTTTCTCCTCCTCTTCCTCATAATTTTCAACAAATGACTCGAGCTCCGCAAACTCCTCAGGACTGACATTGGGTAATGGTGCCTCCAGGACTCTTTCATTAGCCTCCAGGCATTTCATAAGATGCATGACAGCTTCGTTAGCAGCATCTCGAATGTTTTGCAGTGCAAGCGAGTTGCGCTTCGCACTGACCTGTCGTGCGAGCTTAGCTACTTGCTCACAGCCAAGAGTGAAAAGTGAGCCAACATTCATGCAATGAATAGATTCGATCACACGCAGGATTTCCCTTTGAGCAAGGTCCATTGTGTGTATGCAGGAGACATACGTCTCCAGTCCCACAGCAGTGATATCAAGCTCTTCAATCTCCTTTTCCAATATCATTAAAGGAATGGTGAATTCATAGCTGTCACTTTCTGTGCTGCCCACAGGTTGGTTGCAGTGCCAAGAACCCTCTTTCAACAAGTCGGCCAAAAGCGTGGATTCCAAGGGAAAGAAGTACACTCCCTTCTCATCATCAGGAGATTCATTCTGACACAGCAATGGTGAGTGATGATGACTCCCAGAAAAAGGTTTCCCCTTAGACTCGACAGGTCTTGAGCTTGAGGAGTAGGATGCAGCCGAGTCAGAATCACCGACGGTTGTGACCTCAATGGAGCTATTTAAAGTTTTTAAGCCCGTTTCCCTGGGGGTTGCCGAACACTTGCTCCAGATTCTAGCATCTCTGGAATGCTCTGCCTTGTGGTCGATGGCTGTGAATACTTTATCCGTCTTCCTGTGGAACTCACTGGTTTTCCTCCCAAACACCGAGGACCAGAGCCACGCAAGCTCCTTCGCAATCCTCTGAAGCTTCTTCATGCCAGCACCCAGAGCCTCATTTACTCTCCTGCGGCAAATGGGTATCACAAAAGATGCAGCTGCAGCCACAACATTCCGCTGCAGAGGAAGAGCTCGCTGCCGAAGGAATAACAACAACAACAGAAAACAAACAAAATAATCTATTAGATTCACCAAGCAGGAGAGTCTGCACAGTTTCCTGGTTACGATGACCACTTTGGAGAGATCACTCACCCATCGAATGCTGTCAAACACAATATGTAGGGATTACGGTTTGCCCCATTCATCACCCGTCTATCCTTTTCACTCTAGAGCATGTAGTGGAGGAGAGCCAGATCCTGGGCCCTGACCACATTCAAGTATCGGATTAGGGAGAGTACTCTTTGCAAGGTATGTGACAGTGCCTAGGATCAAACCACCAGTCCACACATACCCATGCAGCCAGTTTTGCACAACTGCCAGTCACTGATGCTGAACACCCACCCATTCCAGGCCAACCACATGGTATCAACCATTCTGAGGTTTGCCAACGGGTCTTTTCTCACCAATGGGTTACTTGTTGCCAACCGTGTGCAATGAATTGCAGTTTTGCACTGGAGGGTCAATCGAGCACATAGCACATGCATGTATGCAAAGAGCGGAAACCCCCCTGGAAACCGCAGTTCAAGTGACCACAGACTCATCTACATATATCTGTGCAACCAGTGCTGCACAACTGCCAAACACTGATGCTGATCACATCCCCATTCCTGGCCAACTACTTAGTATCAAACATTTCATGGTTTGTCAAGCAGCCTTCTACCACCAACCCAATATGGATGTGGAGGGGGAGGGGGGGG